AAAAAAGGTCAAATGCTTATGTAAACGAAACCACTCAAATTAGATTGACTTACAACACAAAATATCTGGTAAAGAATCATCGATTGGCTTAAGGTGTTCTCGTGAATGCATTTTGCAAGAACGGAGAGATTTATAAGAAGCCATCCCATCATACCAGCTCTAACAAAGTAAAACCTACAGAAAAAATATTACAGTAAACTAGTCAATTGTGATATATCATGTAATTACCCAAGTTAGAATTTTTCCATTGGGAGAATTAACCATCAAATAACAATACTAGGCATGCACTCTTTAGTTACATATGAGCCATAAGTATTAAACATAGAATCACTAGAAAATTCAACAAGAAGAACGAACACAACAACAATATTTATATACTCAATGAACATAGCATCTCAGTATCTCAGTCTAGAAATGTACTTGAGGTCGATTCCGATGAATTGAGGATTCAATTGTATCCCAAACCACCTGTCAGATGACATAACAAAACATAAGCACTATAAAAGCACATTGATAAGTTGAAAACTTAAAACAGAAATCGAGAAGCCAGACAAGCAACCGAGGCTACATCTTGAGCAAATTACGAGCAACTATATATTAGGTTCTCTCTTTTCTCCAATGTTTTTTCAGGAAGTAGCTTCATTTAGAAGCAGAGGCATAAAATATTGTTCGTGGTTCATCGACAACTATCTGAATCTTTATGCATTTAGAAACTAGACAGACAATAGAAAAAATGTCCATTGTCGTTTAAGTGAAATAACGTAGTCGAAACCTAATTTGCTTAAAGTATCCCTCTGCCACCTTGAGAAACATGCAGGTCAGGAATCCATGAACAATTTCACATTTGTTAACAAAGGGCAAAGCGAAAAACTAATGGGATCAATTTAGGGATCACAAAGGTAGAGAAAAGAATGAGAATAATCCTTCAATCTTTGTCAAACCAATCCCAACACTTCTGACGAGATCCTTAGAAAACCGGGCTAAAGATCAATTTCATTCATGTGATCCTCACAAAATGGCAAACTAGTTGCTGATGTCATATCAACAATGTCGGTTACAACTAGTTTCACTTTTATTTCTTCAAATGAAGTTTGAAAGAAGATTATTGTTAAAAAAAAAAATCATCGACTTATTATTCATTATTTTTCCCCTGAAAACTCAGGTTTGGCTACAACGAATAACAGATTCAATTTATATAATTAAGGTGGTTTTCGAGAAGCGATTGTCACAAAGATGTATGAATATTTCAGGAGGAAAAATACTCTACTCAGTCCATGCATGGGAACCTACTTTTCTTGAGGGAAACTGAGAATCAAGTGTCATACAGAACCTTCCGTAGATCATGGATGTTTAAAGGAATAATGTATTACTTTCCTAACTGAGTTAGAGAGAACAAGCTTACTGAAACAATGTATTAGCAGGTAACATATCATTAGTCTACATTAGCCTTAAATTTACCAAACCTTAATTACGACTAGGACTAACAATTGGAAAATACCAAATTCTGATTCTCATTATGCATAAAAGATTTACACTTTGTGCATTCATAATTGGCACACACCAAAAGGTGTGCTACATAGAAATATAATTTCTCAGAGTGTACTTGGCCAATGCTACATTAGTTACCAGTCATGGATTATGTTCCCAGTGACATGAGGTTTCAAGGAGGAACTCTGAGCCCGGGATCTGCAGCCAGCCACATAAAGAAAGAATGACACCTGGGATGGCATGAGAAAGGATAATAGCCTTAATGAGGTGAGTTTAACTGGATATGTGCCGAATCTAAGCAACAAAAGGAGACCCTTAATCACCAAACACCAAAAATTTAACTTTCCTGCATAAACTCGTATATATGTCAGGTGTTGATTGTTCATCATTTTAATAGTATATCTGTTTACACTACTTTAATCGCTTATATATTTAATGTTGAAAGAAAGTGCTCCAGTGAGAAATCAGTCATTCTCAAAGTAACATGACTTAGTGATCAAAACGTCAACCTGCTACAAACGTTTTGTACACTCAATAAAATTTCCCAGCCACAGTTAAACCCAAAACTTACAAGTAGACTGAATGCAAGAGTCATTGATAGCAGCTCGAGACCCCTATCAGCAATTGCCTGCAGAAATTACCACGAAAACAAATGCAAATGCAATTTAGAACAACACCGTGCCTGGCAATAACCGAGCACTTCTCATGCTGCATTTTACCAACTATACAAACTATGCAATCACTAAAGTATTATAGGCACATTAGCCTTCACCAAAGTACATGAACATGAATGCCGATCCATTTAAGGACTCAATGTGAAATTCAAAGACACAACAAGCAGAACATTCAAGCAAACAAAAAAGAGAAAAAAAAAAAATCTACAACAAGATGCCAGTTCTCACGGTGGGTGATATAAGATCCATCCATGCGCCAATTCCGAGTAGAGATACCAACAAGATAAGCAACATCAAACCTGAAGTTGAAAAAATATACAAAAAAATCACAATAACAGTTAACGCAAACACCATTATTCGAACTCAAATGCAGAAAAATTAGGAGAGGTCGTATGTTCCCACCATTACACCGGTAATGGAGCCTAGTGCCGTCCGATAAAGTCGCTCCCGGAACAACTTTTCCGGGCAACACGGATCCAACGATTGCCAAGTAAGTGAAAAATCCGAGCAGTACGGCGACCTATTTCGGCAAGAAAAGTGGCCGTCACCGGCGGAGAAATACATACAGATACTTGTATATATATAACAGTAGAGAGATAAAATAGAGCGCGAACTGACCGAAGTCCACGAAAGAGTGAAGGCTTGAAGAAGGGCGTTGAGATCCATGGCCGAACTTGGACTCTGTTGCTATCAGTCAAATCCAATGGCAGCTACCGTGAGTTGTGCGGAGCAGAAAACAAAATCTCGGAAATAACGAGGGAAAATTTCCAATATTTTAACTCAATCACTTTTTTTAACTTAAATTTAACTCAATTCCACTATTATTAATATAATTAAATTAAATAATATCAATCAATCAATCATTGACATAACATCAACCTTAATTCACTATTTATCCACTCACATTATTTTAACTAACTATCACTTCAAATCACCTCTCTCATACTTTTACATCAAATCAATTTTAATTATTTTAAATATTATTTTAATATATCCACTAATACCTAATCATACCACCTTTTTCAAAATTAATCAAATCAAACCAAACCAAAAAATCTAAACAAAACCAAAAATTTTCATAAACAAACATGCTCTACGATTTGTTGGCACATCAAATAGATATTTTAAATTTTCAAAGGGGCGTGTTTGTATTAAACAAATACTTTATACACTGTATATAAGTTGTGGCCTCAACAATTATGGANAAAACACGAAGATAACCTACGGACACACAAGTTGTGGTAAAATAACAGAAGAAAAAAAAAAAGAAGAAATAATACAATACAGGAAGGGGTGTGCAAATATGAATGTGGGAAAATTTGTTTGAAGATGAAGTCTTAGCTCAAAAAAATAAAAAAAGTAAGTAAATGTACTTTATTTAAAGGACAAATAAGTAAATGTACCATTGATTTTATCAATTGTTCAAGACAACAAATACATAACACGTTATATTCTATCAAACTTATTTTGTGTCAATCATACAACAAACAAAAGTATTTATCATATCTTTACAAGACAATCTTATTAGTCATGATAAAAATTATCTACGCTCATCCGCCTTACAAACGTGCTGTAACACTCATCTATTTAATGCTTAAACTGTTGTGTAAAATCACTCTTATGTCGTTAGCAGGAACAGTTCAGACTTATATCAATTAATATAGGAAATAAATAATTTACATTATTTTATGTTACTTTTTTAAATAATTTGTACTTATAATTTATTTATAAGAATAGGTCTAATTATTTTCTACATTGATATTGACATATAAATATTAGCTTATCTGATATATAATAAAAAGTCATTATTCACTCTGTATATGATATGATGTCAGATTAAAGCCATTGACCTAAATTAAAAGGATATGTTATTTTTAAAAAAATGAGTATTGAATAAAAAAATTATTAAATTTTCATTTACAAGATATGATAGTTACTTTAAAAGATAAATAGACAATATTTAAATCAATAAAATGAGAAAGATAAGAATTATAAATAGACAAATATTTAGTTTTGGTAAATTATATTTATACCTTAGTATATAATGCAAATGACTTTATAAAGAAAAGTAATAAAAAAATTCAATTTTAGTGGAAAAATTTCATCCAAAATGTGAATATCATATCCTTATTATATATTTATAGATTCAAATTAAATATGTTTGATAAAATCAAATCTTTAATTTATCATCACTTTCCCCCAAGAACTAATAGCACAGCCAACAAGAACATTCAATTTCATTTTATGGGTCTGAGTTGGGTTCAAAGTATAAGGATCTGTAACCAAATTGTCTTAAAATGGCCTATTTTTAGACCTGGGCTACTATAGTGGATCAAAAATCAAAGCCTAATCTATTGTCAACGAAAATATAAAAATAGGTCCAGCAACGACATTGATAAGCCCACTCTAGCCAACCAATCATTTCAAAATTCCGGAAAGGTCCCCAAATAATTTGATTTACATTAGTCCGCGCCGCACTGAATCGAAACCCCAAACCCGAAAATTTCCCTATGCCGTTATAAATTCGAAACCCTAATTTCAAATTTCATTTGTTCTCATTTCTGTTTGTTTCCTCACCTCCTTGCAAAAACCCTAGTAACACGCACACACACGCTCTCTATCTGAAACCCCGCCTTCAATCTCTGAGCATCTCGAATTCTTAGCAATGGAGTTCTGGGGTGAGCTTCTCTCTCATTTATCTGTTTCATTTTTTTTGTTGTTGTTGGCAATGTCTGTTACTTTTTTTTTTCTTCTGTTTATCGTGTCTTTTTTTTCCACATTCGTATGAATATGAAAAACCACATAGTATTTGCTTTTATCTGTGATTATCAGGTTGTCGTAGTTGCTGCCCTTCGTAGATTTTCATGATATTTGGATTTGAATGTTGCTTGGAGATGCTTGTTTTATACCCTTGCGGATGATAGTGCATAAACCGTGGATTAGCCATATCTATCAAAGTCTATTGTTGTACAGTTTTTTTTTTTTTTTTTTTTNTACTTAATGATGTCTGTTTTGTCAATATTTTAGTAGAATTTTATCATTTTGCAGACTTTATTGATTTCAGTCATGCTAAATATGTTTATAAGTGACTGTGCAGTGAAGAAGTGTTTTGTAGTCTTGTTATGTTCTTGATTCACATGTGCAAAGTAAATGATGTTTGGTTATTCCAATGCTGCTATGAATGCCTTGAGTAATGTGTTCTTCATGATGTATATACTCGTGCAAAAATGGCTTGTGGGGTTTTCTGTGCTGCAGACCCCATTATATATTCTGTATACAAGTTTTGTGTTATTATTGAGGGCTGTTGCATAGTTGCAAAATGTTTAGAAAATATTGATAAAAAGTCACTCATATTATTGTGTTTGGCAGGTGTTGAGGTGAAAAGCGGAGAGCCCCTTACGGTTTCGCCTGGTGATGGGATGATCTTACATCTTTCTCAGGTCGCAAACAATTCTTATGAAAAAATGTTGTCACTTCCTTTAATAATAATTTCCCGTACTATAATGTTCTGTTTTCAACAGGCTTGCATTGGTGAGGTTAAAAAGGAAAAAGGAAATGAAGCTGTCTACTTGTTTGTGAATATTGATGGAAAGAGGCTTGTTCTTGGAACACTCTTCGCTGAGAAGTTGCCTCAGCAACAATTTGACTTAGTGTTTGACAGAGATTTTGAGCTGTCGCACAACTTTAAAAGTGCAAGTGTGTATTTCCATGGATACAAGGCCAGTAACCCATGTGAAGAATATCCTTTAAATATGTTATCCTCTTTTTAATTTATCTATTGTTCTTGTTTGTTGTACTATATAGATTCTCATTTTAATTGTATTCCTTAACTCGGTGCCATTGTTGATTCGCACTGGGACAGAGGGAGAATCAGGTAACCATTCTTCATTGGTCATCGTCCTTCCTTTGTTCTATGATTCCATGTTACCTTATGTCTTCTTATCAACTGTATAACATGTTTGTATTACGTATCCAGACGAATTTGACTCTGAGGAAGAAGAGGATAACCCACTTCCAGTTGCTAATAATGGTACCACATCTGTAGCTCTTGCTACTGGCTTTATTAAAATGCTTTAACGTTCTCGTGATTTTTTAACATGGTGTCTTATTTGCAGACAAATCTGAGTCAAAGCCTAAGCAAGAAAAACCCGAGTCTTCTAATGCTAATGCCGGAAAAGGTAAGGAGTCTGATGGTGGTAAGCAAAAGGTGAAGATTGTGGAGCCAAAGAAAGATACAGATGCTGAAGAGGATGAGGAAAGCACTGATGAAGACTTTATGTCTGATGATGAAGACGACTCAGACTCTCAGGTTTATTTTGACTCATTTTAAGTCTTGTTATGGTTTATGTTGTTGTTTTAAGTTAACAGAATTGTTTTTATTCAGAACAAACTTCCAGTTAATCACCGTTTTATGGACCCATTGGAAACATGCGAGCTTTGTACTCTCTCTATAATTGCAAACTGTCGGTTCGTCAACCACAGGAATTGTAGGCTCATATTCTTCGAATTTGTGTTCAAGTTATTGAGTTAAATTTTTTAATATAAATGATAATAAAGTCAACTTACAATCATGTTTGCTTAGGGTCTGTGTTTAAATATGAGGTGCATGGATTCTCCATTTCTTGTTGCCTTGTTATTTGTTTGTTTGTTTGTTTGTTTGTTTGTGCGATTGTCACTTGAATTCTAAACTCTATAACGTTAGGTGCCGTAAATATCTCATGCTATCATTTTAACGTATGAGTAATCTTTAAATTTATAACTTTAGGATGGAGATGAATCAGATGAGAGTGATGAAGAGACACCAAAAAAGGTAATATGTACCGATTACCTGACTCGAAGGGTCTTTAATAATAATAATTATTATTATGATGATGATGATGATGATGTGGGAATTTAACTTATTATGATTTCCCCTGAAGGCCGAGCCTAGCAAGAAGAGGCCTGTAGAATCTGCTACAAAAACACCAGTACAAAGCAAAAAAGCAAAAGCAACTCCGCAGGGAACAGGTAATTCTCTCGTTTAAGTTTTGCTATAACTAGTGTAGCTTCAAGTGTTCTGTAGTCCACTGTTTTAAATGTATGTAAAATATATTAATTGTCTTTACAGACGGCAAAAAGCCTGGTGGTCATGTAGACACACCTCACCCGGCAAAACAGGCTGGGAAGACACCTGCTAACAAGCCAAATCAGCAAACACCAAAACCTGGGGGTTCACATTCTTGCAAGAGCTGCAACAGGTACACCTTATGATTATTAGTTACGAATAATTACATACAAAGCCTATTTCTGAAAACATCCTTCAAAAGATATCTGGGTATTGCAAGTATCCCTAGAAATTATGATGGAATGAAACTGTAATAACTGGGGTGCTGTTCGTTTTGCCTGCAGGACGTTTACTTCTGAGCAAGGCCTTGAATCCCACACAAAAGCCAAGCATGCTGGTGGAAAGTAATTTGGAACTTGTCCTTTCGGCATTTTTGCCTTTGACATTCTGAAAGGTTGTTTTGTGGTTTCGATTAATGAAAGAGAGCTTGTTTTGTGTAGATTGTGAACAATGTAGTGGCAACTGGCATGCTTTCCTATGGGATGACGAATTCTGGATTATTATAAGAATGTCATGCTTTTTCATTCGTCTCTTTACGTACTGTGGCATGTTTTCACATTTCACATTTCGTCTCTTATATGAATGTCATGCTTTTTCATTCGTCTCTTTACGTACTGTCTGCTGTATTGATTTCACATTTCAATTACCACTATAACTGTTAGTTTGTTGTTATTTCCAATCGATTTGATGAATGGTAATTACTATCCAAGGTGTAGTTTATCTGTGGGCAAAATTGGTTTTGTGTATTATTGTGAAAGACTTTAGTATTGTGAAATACTAGTGTTGTATGTGAAGGGTCGTGTTGAATTACAAAAATCTCCGTTTTCAGGTTTCTCTTTTCTTATGGAACGAACTGCGGACGTCAAGTTTGAGAAACTATTCTCTTAAATTAAATGCATGAAACTAGCAACACTAGGAAAAAAAATTGAACAGAGATTGGATCATATCTGGGCTGTGGGCACTATTAGACGTTGGAGCAGCTGGGATTTGTCTGCCCAAAATACGTACGCCAAGTGCTTCGTTATTTCCCTCCTTTTTTATTTTCTTCGAAAAATGAAACAACCTGCTGCCGGATAAAAAAGCTTAAACCGCTGGGTTTTTCTGAATGGTATAATTTAAATACTAGTTAAACTTGTCCACAATTCAGCTGGTTTGCCCGAGAGGTTAAGGGGGAAGACTTAAGATCTTCTGCACATAAGTGCGCATGGGTTCGAACCCCATAGCCAGCATTTTATTTTATTTTTTATAATTTTCAATGCACGTCCTCAAATTCTCGTTATTTATTTTCTTATTTCCATTTTCTCTTTGCAATTTCTATCATTTTCAGTCTCTGTCATCTCATTAACCTTACTTATTTTGTATTTATTTTCTATGCTCATTCTTAAATTACTGTGGTCAGGACCCACAACTTATAACCCAACTGATCCATCCTCCTTCAGAAGCTTCATCACGGAATTTAAATTTCTTCTTTGAATGGTACAAGAATGGAAGAATTTAATAGTCTTATCTCATTCCCTGATCCAATTTAAATTTCTTCTTTGAATGTCCCTCCAAAATACTTCTTCATCATTATAAGCTCTCTTTAGCTCTGTTTTAACTTGCCCCAGATCCTCCAATATCTATCTCCTCCTATTTCAACAGATTTTCTAGCTGCATCTTAATTTTTACACCTCTCAATCAGTCAATTGTTTTTGAGCTGTTGATTTTTTTTTTTTTTAATTTTTTTCACAGTTTCTTATTTTTCCTTGAAGTTGGACCAAAGGATGCCCACTTGTCTTTTTATTCAAAGACTCAACAACAATTTTTTCTTCTTCAACTCACCTGCGATCAAAATATTTTATTTTATTTATTTATTTATTTTTTAAAATTCATTTTTTTCCTTCCCTTTCCTCATAAAGCAACATATGATGATCTGAAGATCACTTATGGATATGTGTGACTTTTCCTGCAGCAAACCTAAGCTGCCAATTAAGGGAAGTAAAAGAACCTGTCCAAATTTTCTTTCAAATAGTCCTCCTCTTGTCACATACTACACCATGTAAAAGGGTGTCCTTACAAAGAAATTATTTCCATTCCCATATCTCTAATGAATCACTTGAAACATGCAAAGCTTCCATTACTTCTTTATTGTCCCCCTTCAATTTTTTCTTGAACTCACTTCCAATCCACCAAACTTTTCTCTAGTTACTCATTTCCTTGAATAAGAAGTCCCAATGAATCTTTCTTATCACACTATCAGTACTAGCCTGAATGAAAGTCATCCAAATACTCTCTCTATCACATTACCTTTAAACTGGACATGAATACAAAATTGTCTTACCACAAGCTAATCCACCTCCACCTGTTGAGGGCAACAAAGAAAAAGCCCCGTTTTGATCCCTAAAAAACTGTCCACCTATCTTGTAATTTAAGAGTTACAGATAGTGGTAATGAACTCTTACTTTCTTTTTATTTTCACTTAGGAAGCAACAATCTGGGGAATGAAGTCTAAAAGAGTCCTTTAATTGGGGAATTGTAGAGTCCCCTGAACCTCTATAATTCCACACCAAAGTTTTCATTTTACCCCATGGGTCCATTTAAAGCTGGTTCTTGCTCTTCCTTTCTTTTCTTAGCACTCTTTTCCTCCTCAGAGCTAGTAACAACCTGGCTCATTGCTAGAAGGTTCTTTTTCAGCCTTTTTTTTTTATTCTTTTTTTTTTATTTTTTATTTTTTATTTTACTGTACCACGACTCGTTTACTCTCAGCCAGTCCCCATATTGCCCTTCTCTGAGACTTCCCTCTCAGCATGAAATTTTCTCTGCTCACAGACCTTTTTCCCATGACCAACTATTCCACAGTAGTAGTAGCAGAAGTCCAAAAGATGTTCATACATAATCTCTAGATTTTATAGCTTGTTGCCAAGGGTTGGCAGTTAAACGAGATATTTCTTATCTGGACCCACATATCTACTGAATTTAGAATGTTCCTCAGTCCCACGCAGAATTCCCCCCTTTTCCACAGCTGATAGGTAAAATCTTTGGAAATCCTTCTCAAGACCTCCTTCCTCAATTTGATCCATTTCTAGACAGCCCAAAATTTGAGACTCCTACTCAAGGTCACACGTGTGTAGAACAGAATTTACCAGCAAAACATGTTTAAATAAAGGCTACCAAGCACACTTGGTAATCAACCAAATTTTTCGATGAAAAATTGGAGAAAACGAAAAAAGACCCAGCAGATTCATAAAGATGAATAACCTTCCAAAAATCCGAAGGAGCAAAAAAGTGAGTTCGTACATCATCGCTCAAGCTCTCAAAATGCACTACTCGTCGAAAACAAAAAAACTCTTCCGATTATTTAAAATGGGTCCCAACAATCCAAACATGACCCATGGTACATAAGATGTTAAAAATCTCCAACACCGAATTTGTTTAGTAGGGCTCAACGGGTGCACGGAAGCTGGCTCCAGCATATACTGCCTCTGCCCCAAGTTCCTCTTCAATCCTCAACAACTGCACCCGTTTGTGAACATTAATATTACTATTTCATATTTAAATCATGATAAACCACAATATTTGTATAACTACAATAAATCCTCAAAGTTGAACGCTTAAAAAACCAGAATTCGGTTGAAGGGAACTGTAATGTTTTCATAAATGCAATGTTGCCTTTTGAGATATGCTTATATTCACGAAGAAAGTTTCTAATTTATTCAATATCCCAAATATATAATCAGATATTTTACCTGGTTGTATTTTGCAAGACGCTCGGATCTGCATGGTGCACCAGTTTTAATTTGGCCCTGAAAATTCAAAACGGATATCAACTTGAAGTAATGGAGTGAATAGAAGTTGTGATATAAAAGATTTTTATATATAAAAAAGTTACCGTGGCCAATCCTACAGAAAGGTCAGCAATGAAAGTATCCTCTGTCTCTCCGCTGTATTCACAACGGATGATTTTAATAATCCATAAAAAGAAACATAATTGATCGGTAAAACATAAGTCCTACAAATCAAAGAACAATCGGGCATATATATATCTGACTAGAAAAGTAGTTTTTCAAACCTGCGGTGACTGGCCATTATGCCCCAACCAGCACGCTTGGACATTCTTACTGCCTCAATACTCTCAGTCACAGACCCAATTTGGTTAACCTGGTAACCAAAGAAGTCAATGTTATTACCATTACAGACTTATTTTACACATAGCATCGCCAGAGTTTAATTGAATGCAAAGAATCTAGGGTTTTATTTATTAACAAAAATACTCAATTATTCGCACTAACGGTTAGGTCAAGTAAGGATAGATGGCAGAGAGAGCATTCGCAAACTTATGAGAGATGTAATTTTTGGTAATTAGACAAGCCTAAGAAGCTTAACTTTATATTTTATTTTTAAAAAGTTGCCCAATTATATACAATACCTTCAAAAGAAGCGCATTGCAAGTCTTCTCATTGATTGCCTTCTCAACCCTCTGCAAGCACATTAAATAAACAGAAAGTTGAGTAAAAAGATTATTAAAAAGAGTTCTACAAGTAACAAATTAGCTCTTATAAAAGCATCAATCACCTTGGGATTGGTGACGAGGAGATCATCTCCCACAATCTGTACTTGGGCCCCAATTTCTGCAGTGAGTTTCGCATAGGTCTCCCAGTCATCCTGGTCAAAGGGGTCCTCAATAGATACAATAGGGTATTCAGAGACAAATGACTTGTAGAGATCCTTGAGTTTGTCACCAGAGATCTTTTGCGAGCCATCATTGTTCTGCCAAAGACAACAAGATAGAATATGAATATTAACAACCACTTGTATTAGATCATTATTTCAACCGATAATAGCAACTTGCCTCTTCCTTGAAGTTCAAATCATAAGTCTTGTCCGTTCCATAAAACTCAGAGGCAGCGACATCCATTCCGATGACGACCTAAAGAAGGAATAACAGTAATGTCATCAATTGCATCAATACATGACAAGTGCCTGTAAGTGTAACTGAAGTACAAAGTGTGGAATAAGGAGGCACGCTCACCTTTCCGGTATAACCTGCTTTAGCAATAGCTGTTTTGAGCAATTCAAGTCCTTCCTTGTTCTCCTGGTGAAGCAGCAATCATGACAAAACACGAATATTTAGTTG